AATTCCTTTACACAACCAGCGTGATTTTTTTCCTTTTATACGCGAATTTTTTGTTAAATTAATAATTCCACATTTCCATTGATGGTCAAATGGAAACAGTTCGAGGGATCGATCGATAAATTTCGTGCACAACTCCATTATTTTCAGTGACATTATCAGTTGCATAAAAACGTGTCTAATGTCACGGATACTCATAAATGCTACCTAAGTAAATCTGGAATATGCATGGTGCAGCGATGCGGTTTTTACTGTGTACCAGCCTTGTTATACAGGTACAACTAAAAACTTACCTCCAAATTTGTAATGAGGCGTAGCGAAGCCTTCAGCTCAGTAGGTGTGGCGATCAATTAATGTGTGAATGAACTAGCTATTTCAGTGCTGGATATAATGAAAATCCAGCTGAATAATTCAGTAATTTTTCAGATAACTTGTGCTGGTATGGCGAATAACGAATTACTTGGTTGGCCAGTGATCCACTGCAATGCTGAAACTATCGAAATGCAATTCACAACCAAAAAAGAGTTCCAGGGTCAGTTATCAACGAGCTGACGAAATATTATTAGTTATACATATAAAAAAATACTATAAAATATCATACAATATGATCGTAAGGAAACGATTAATACAAATTGCAAACATCAGTGATTTACGTTAAATAAAAGGGACAAGCTGGGTGTATCGGTGAGTCGCTAGGAACCACAACCGGCCACCACATTGGCAGATTGTAGATCAGAAAATGACCTATCAACGGGAATTTTATAGAGTTTTGAATAATTGTTCCCATACTATTTACCTATTAAATACCTGAAGGAGTTCTGCGCCGTCAGTTCTTTCTTGAAAAGTCTTCTGGATGATTCTTTTTTCACAGTGGCTAGTGATTTCTAGGGTCGGAATAAAGTCTGAGGTTCAATGGCTTGGAACTTACAATTAGTGTGGAATCTTTTGAAAACAGTAATATCGATTATAAATAGTCTGACTATCATTGAATAGCTGGTACAGCACAAGGTTGAATGTCGAATGTATCGTTTTTCAGGTAAAGTATATGTTAAAGGAAGTTACCATCATCCCGAATGCCGAGTAGACTACAACTCAAAAGTGGCTGGACAATCTTTGACTGGGATAAAGATAGAGCATGGAGCTTGTAACATGAGTCGCCAACGATTGGTAATTCATTGTTATTATTTGGAAAAAATACTGTCGACTCTACGTTTACTAGTTAGAGCGGTCAGTTTGAGATGTGCTTGGTTCTGAAGAGCACGAAAAGCTTATGTGTTTCGCTTGATTTACCCACCCATAGTCCTTCCCAGGCACAGCTTCCGATCTAGGTATGAGAGGGACGCGTTCCAATCATCCCCAAGGCGCATCGTCTTGGATATTGAGAATCCTCACCCTTATACTTTCAGGTACCTCCCGAAGGCATGATTCTCTCCACTGTTCTCGTTATCAGTTTTCATCCTGTACGTTTCAGTTAAATTATTATAAAACAATAAGGGTGGGATTAAAAGGGATTACAGTTGAAGGGATGACTGTGAGAGATATAATAATCAAATGAAATGAATGGAAGTTGCAAACGCTCCACCACTCGCGCGTAGATTGCAATTACTCGGTTGTAGATATTCAATAACACTCATCCCCTGCCTGGCGAAAGGAATTTTAATTCTGAGCTCATAGCATACATCAACTGTGAGATTCCCATGATGGGCGGAGCTTCCGCAGCGGGGCGGACCTTCTAAGTCGCCGCTGTAGCATTGCAAAAGTACTATGGAGGCTCATCATTAGATGATACTCTAACAGCTGAAAAATCAGCTAAGAGTGTGATAATTAGAAGACAGTGGATAGGGCTGTTCAAAGTGATAAGAACTTCCTTCAAAGTTGCTTGGTTCTGGGTTGACTTCGATGAGGGTCTAACAAACAGGATTAGGAGCGGAGCTCAAGTTCTTTATGTTGCAAATCCTCTTATAGGCAGCCAGCTACAAAAAGTTGCTAATTGCCTCAAATTAATTAGAGGAATTATTTGTTTTTGAATCTGCAAAGACTGAACTCGTTATTTTCCAGTTGTTCATCACCAAGGCTGACAAGATGTTCACCGTAAGATGTGTGTACAAAGAACTGTCACAAACCATCACTGCCAGGCTACAAGTTAGGTTCGTTGCTCATACAGTTAGCTCATTATACATCACAAAAATCCTTCCTACATCTTATAGCATGGCCCACATGGGAGTTATTGATTAATGAATTTTAAGATTTTTTGTGAGAGATATGGCTTGTTTTCAGCATGCTACCATCCGAACAATTACCCACAGGGTCAGCTTCTCCAGTCTGTTCCTACACCATTAGAAGGGATTCGCTGGATGGTGAAATACTTACATACGCCAAAGTTGGTGACCAAGTAGTTCATAGATGGAACTGCGACACAGGTTCGTGCATAAATTGATGCTTCAAACCACTTTCTAATTTCCCTTTGCAACAACCGAGCTCGACATAAGGGGAAAGTTCATTATCGCAACCGCCCTATCCTCCGTTGGAGGGGCGGGGCTTCGCTAAAGAGGTCATAGGAGGAGTAGAATGGGTGGGGCGTTCGCGAACGTGTTTCAAGGCAAATGTAGGCACTGGATGCTGCAAGAATAAACAAATTTGATTGATGCATAACAAATATAACACATATGATATAACAAACATAAATACTGACACTTATATTTTCGGGAATTTTAGATGAATTTGGTATTCTTGTCCACAGCTGTGTAGTAGAAGATGGACAAGGACAAAAGGAACTCATCGTTGATGAGCAAGGGTGAGTAATTTCAAATTCCAGCCATAGCCCCCTAATGACTACAAATTCCTAGGTGCCATACCGATCGACTGCTTCTGGGAGATCCTACCTATGTGGCTGCTCTTAACATGGCATATCGGGAAGCGTCAATATTCAAGTTCGCCGATCGCATTTCTGTTCGATTTCGATGCGAAATCCGGCTTTGTCTCAAGTTCGATGGCGGATGTGAAGGAATAACGGTAATGAGCTCTTGTTCCTGAACTGAACGTTTGTGCACTTGCATAATGGTGGATGCAGTGGACAACTGCAGATGAGTGACTTCATACCTGAGTGCGGCAAGTTTCGTCGCGCGCGATGCACTCGTAAAGCAAGCGTACGAGAAATTCGCGCGCCTTGCGAATACGTCGCGTGCGGAGAGAGGCAATTAGGCAATGGCGCAGCAAATTTGCTAGGATAAATGAAAAATAAGAAATAAGGTGTCTATATGCTATGGAGCTTGCAACAATAATATTGTGTTAACATCTTTTTCAGCCTCCACTGTGCAACAGCGACTCAGACACTCCAAGAAACCTTTCAAAACGGGATCTGCACAATAACACAGTAAGCAATAATGGTATTTCGGATATAAGGGGTGTGCTTTCTTGTGGGAGCTGAGATGGGCGTTTCTTCACTAAACTGCCCCGATCCAATAGAAAATGGAGGATACGTTTTGGTGCGCCATTAGTTTCATTAGCGAGTTTTTCGCGCCTAGCAGCAACGCGTCGCGCGGCGCTTTTTGGTACTTAAGAAAACCAAGATTGGTCACTAGGCCGGTATGTGTGGGAAAAGGTTTCAATTTTCGTGCCCATTTTTGGCTTCGATGGGAAATCCATTAGGATTGTCAGTGGCTTACGACTCATCTATTCTCAACAAAAGTTTCTTCTAAGGCGGTGATCGAGAAGCGGCCAGTAGCCGATATCGATGCAGACCTACTGTCGCAAACTGTAGTTGTGTTTGATGAGGACTTCGACTATGGAAGGGGCCGTTCAGAAGGTACAAGTTCCCTTAATTGTCGAGAAACCTCAGCTGGCAAGCTGAGGCTATTCTGAACTTCGATTTTATGATCATTCTATCATTTCAGCCCACAACTCCCTATCGTTTCCTCAGTCGATATGCCTCGGTTTCCACACTTTCGCCTGGGCCAGTGCTGCCGTTGTTGCCGGGATTATACTAACGCTGTCAGTAGTAGTAATCCAGTACAAAAGTGTTTTTAGGTGAATAGGGACAGTGCTACTCCATGCCTCTGTTAGTACAGAGAGTCAAGGGGACCAAGTCCACGGTTTGCGACCTTGAGTCTGTTTTGATTTCCATCAGTTGAAATTACCAAATGATCCGGGTCGATTGCTCCACCGCCCGCTTGGATGGTTTGATGTTCTGGGACGGAATGCACGTGGCCAACAGCAAAAGTGCACTTTTCGAGTGACGCCGCGCGTGCCGCACCGCGCCGTGGGGTGTGATGCACCATGCTCCCAACTTTGTTTATACTCAGTTATTACAGAACTAGAACAGGGTTTTTTGCGTAGACCCTTCAATATTTTCATTAATAGTCTAGCAAAGATACCCTTGAACTCACCCTTTCGCTGTTGTCATTTAATTTTTGTGTCAAAACATGTTTTTTNTTTTTTAAATTAACTGCAGACTTGAATCATTCGTGTAAAGTGATCGATGCCCTTTATTATGTTGTATTTATAAAATATCAGCAGCCATCATATCAATTTAAAGTCATCGTTCATTGTGCTTTCCAGTAGATATCGATTTCCGAGTGGGATATAAAACCGATTGTTCATATTACATCAATACATTGCATTACATTTTACAGCAGTGTTTATATTATGTTGAGCGGATTTCGATTTGCAGCTTCCGGTGCCGTTTCCAATAGACTTTAGTAATTGTTGGTTATTAAAATTCGTTTTAAGTTATTGAATAAAATTTACGAGAACTATGGCCTGATGGAGAAATCCAGGTAATCATTCGAAGGCTTGCTTCAGAGGGAGGCCCGTACAACGAAAGGCGATGATCTTCACGCTGATGGTGCCAGGTGTTTCAGAATTGGTCATACTACTCCGAGCAAATACTTAGAGCCCTCGACCCTCAGAATTCAGTGGTTTTCTATCGGTCTTATAATGATCTTATAATGAAGAAAAGAGACACGTTGAATGTGCTGAAAGTGGCTCTGGAAACAATTCTATGCCTGTGATATCATTTCGTCGATGCGTAGGCACTCCACCAATCAGGAGTGCGCAATCGTCTCAAAGAGCCCGCCTACCTGCAAGACGTGCCTACTGCTTCTGAATGTGGGAAAAAACGATATGTTCAGATGGATATGAGGGTCAGGTGAGTATGAGAGCAAACCTATACTTTTTGCAACGTCGGATGTGCCTATGACGGTAGCCTATTACACCAATCGTGAAGGAGACGATAGCAGTTGTCTGGCTTCAATTGGCTGTCATCATATGCCTCATCAATTAACTACATCGACTCATTCTCCATCTCCCAACTTCCCTTTTCTGCTTTGGTTTTAGTAAAAAGTTATTCTTACAAAGTTGCTGGAGAGACTAACTCGAGTAGAAGGGAACTATATATTGTCAAAGATTGCTCTGAATTGTCATAGGTTCCGATTATTGATCAGTGAGATAAAAATAGACAATTTTTCCGACCCGTTACTATTGTTGAACCATCAAACCAAGGTCGCATGCCCTAAAGAGGTGGACGGGGACAGTCGCAGTCACGACCGCTTTGTGCATTTTAGAATGAGCATACATAGCGCGGTTCAGTTTGACTCAACTTTAGCACTCTTGAACTTCGCTCACTTCATCGCTCAGCTACGGCAACTCTTACTCCTGAAAATCCCATTTGAAACTTCTATAGAGCCCATTTTTATTCATGCTCCAATTTATTCATGTACTTTTTGAAGTTTAAATTTGCTTTTCGGTCCCGACCATTGAAATCTTGGAAAGTAGAATTTCGGATTACAAAATTCCCCTCTTCCATCGTGATATCCGAAATTTCTAAGATAGACTTCGGCAAGGCTTTGCAAAATATCTTCATACTAGTGTGTGGCTTACTCTTAGTCAATTTTAATCATTATTTTCATTTTTTGAGTATTCTTCCCACACAAACTCTCTGTACCCTCGTCGAACTAAAGTAATTGAAAGTTTACATTGAGTTGCAGATGGCTGTCCAGAGAATAACTTCTATAGGAGTACTGTATCTCGTAGGTCTTGTCCGTACCCTGATAGCATCGGAGTCTTCGGTTGCCTCGGTAAAAGACACTGATTTATTTGATGGCACAAAACAGTTAGCTGTAAGAAACAAAAGGCAATGTGGTAAGCAAGTACAGTAACTTACAAACCTTTCTTACCTACCGTAATCTTGCTTTCAGGAAATACGGAATGTTCAGCATGTGGTCAAGGATGTACTGGTAGAGGTTGTTCAAGAAGTTCAAGACGAAGTTGTGCTTGCGATGATTGTCCATGCCGAAAACGTATTTGTGTAACGATCAACAGACGTGATTTTCAGCGATTCTATTGTTTTATACGGTTACTCCTTTGAAGATAAGTATCATAGTAACTGGTACTTGAGCCAGAGTGGAGAACAAACATTTGGATGTCCCATTACCTTTAAACCCCTTCTGTTCGGCGGGGTAACGGGGCTGGGGTGCCTGGCCACAGAGATATGGCACGAACCCGAATGGGGCTGTTACTTCTGCTTTCATCTTCGCTCCCTTGGTTACTTCAAGCCGTGATTGTGGTACGTTGCCGGTAATCTACCTGAAAGTCTGTAGATTGGCCCTAAAAGTCAGGGTCAGTTAGGTTGTCCGAGAAAAAATAGGGCTAGTATTTATTAGTGGATTGATACTTTACTGCATGTGTACGTGCAGTAAAGTATCAATCCCACAGTAATCGCTCGAGTTCCCGTTAGGAGTAGGGCTGTATACAAACCCTGGTCAAACCATCTGGCTCCCATCCAAAAATAGGGGTTCATTTCTGAAAGATTTTGTACTGTAAAGGCTGTGGTCGTGTTTTCAGCTTGTACCAATCCATGCGAAAACGGAAGACGTCCTTGCTGTGATCGACCCGTATGTCCATTAACTACCTTGGCGTGTTATTAGTAAGTTGTGCGAAATGGAATGTTTGAGGTACAACGTCCATGTTCTGAATGTTCGGCTCCTCCAGTAACGAGACCGCCACCTCGACCTCAGCTGCCACCATCGCCGCCTCAGATGCCACTACCACAGATGATTCCTCCTGTGAGTTGGTCGTTCTACTCGAACTACTGGGGAAATTTTTCACGAAGTCAAATTTTCAGATTCGTGATTCGGTCTGATGATCTGGATTTTTTGATTATTTCCAAAATTTACCATACTTTTCGGTATAAATTGTTGCTTGGTTGAATTCGTGACAAGGGTGCGCTGGATGTAAGGCAAAGGGCGACCCTATTGGTTGAATTGTAGGCTAACTCGACAACCCTCCAATGAGATGGGCGTTTGGCACTCGCGCGCTCAGCACACTCACTAATTTGAATATTTTGAAAATCACTTCAACCTTTTTTTGTTCAGGGAATGTGCTGCCCATGTTGCATGCCGATGTGCCTTCCGACATGTATGATCTATGGTTGCATGTGTCCAGTACCAATTCCGTTCTTCGGATAAGCTGCTCCAATCAAACTTTTGTCTATACATATGCAGTAATTCTATGATAATTTAAAATGCTTTTGACTGCATCGTATTCTCATTAGGGAGTTATATTTGTTGGAAGAAAAAAGAAACTAAATTGTCTTAACCTCTCGTGAATTCATCTGTTGACTTCAGGATTTGTGCTACGCATCTATTTAATCGATTACCCTTCAATTTTACGATTATTCGGCTCTATTTCCTTTAATTTCTACGAAATTGTTGATACGAATCTATTTAGTCGATTACCCTTCAATTTTACGATTACTCGGCACTATTTCCTCTCATTTCTACGAAATGTTGTTGAACGTATATTTACTGAAGCTCCTCTATGTCGCTCTGCATGATATGTGAAATGGGCAGAGGTCTGTTGTGATTGGTAGGATGCCTGCATCGACCAATCACAGACAAGGCTGGCAAACCCAATGTGCCTTTAGCTTAAGGTTGCAAAAGTACTTTGATTGTTCCAATTTTTTTAGCTATTGTTGGAAAATTTCAGGTATCGCAATAGAAAATAGCGATAAGCCTTCTTAAAATCTTAATTTTTTTAGGCCACTGTCAAAATATTAAGTTTATGTTGTAACTATTTGCTTGACAACATTATTTTATAAAATTTATTCATTCCATTGCTTTTCAAATATTTTGTAAGCTCTATACACATTATACATATAGTCAAAGCCACAATCGCGAAATTTTGGCCCTGATTGAGTAGGCACATGCAGAGATCTGTGAAATCGTACACGTACTGGATTCTTATCCCATCATAGCACCCATCATGGCACCCATCAATGCTCCTTGCACTGGGTTCATCCGTCCGTAGCCTCCCATGCCTCCGTATCCACCGTAGCCTCCATAGCCGAATCGTCGTCGTCCATACATTCCACCGTATGGGCCCATTCCTCCGCCATATGGGCCCATTCCTCCTCCATAACCGCCGTATGGGCCCATTCCACCATATGGGCCCATTCCACCATAGGGGCCCATGCCTCCGTAGGGACCTGTAAGTCGAACTATGAAAAACTGATTGATTGTGATGATTTCTATGAGGGACTCACCTCCCATGCCGCCACCGTATGGTCCACCGCCGTATCCCCACTGAGCTTCCACTGTGGCAATACAGACAAGGGCGATGGCGAGTACTGTCAGGGAGTTCATTTCTGAAAGAAACTCTCTGCTGCTTGGCTAAACAGTTACAAGACAAGTAGTGGACGAGTACTCGAGCACAAGATTACGGTAGTGTCATAAGGAACTTCTAACATGAGCAGTAAGAGCAAAACTTTTACACGAAAAAGACATTTCAACAAGTTCTGTGCCGAGAGGCTAAAGAGTAAAGTTTTACAGTGGAGGAATCGGAAAAAATACTTGATAGAACGCAAACAGTCACAACAACATTACTCAGTAACAATAGGTCTAGTAAATGTTGAACACGTTGAAACTTGTTCACATTTGTTTACCCATGAACTGAAGTGGTGTGTTGTGTTGAAGTAATACCAGCTTGGACGTCGTGCTTTTATAATGGCCAATGCTAGCTATTGGGCGAATATTAGCATTAAACTTTGGTCATTGAAGACAATGCGCGTTACCCGACGAAAAGTGGGCGGATAGGTCGAATCGGAACAAAGTAGTGGCCTTGGAGCACATCAACTCTTGACTCTGTTGATCTGTATGGGAAAAACCACGGAAAACCGTCTTTAACCAGTTTTTTTCCCGTTACACAACTGAGATCCAATACTCGGTCAACGTACGACATATTCGATATGGACATGAGTCATAGGTATTCGAAGATACCTGAGTTTGTTCAGATTTCGACTTCCTTATGGATCTTCACGTTTTCC